CACCACATCAGCATGCAATGTACACCGGGGGCAGCGCCACATCAGCATGCAATGTAGACCAGAGGCAGCACCACATCAGCATGCAATGTAGACCAGTGGCAGCGCCACGTCATCATGCCTGGCACACAGAAGAAGCGCCTGCATGCTGCCTCCACCTCGTGCCGTCGTCCGCAACGCCTGTGCACAACCAGCATGTAGCCAGCGTCGCGCCAGCATAAAGCCAGCGTCTAGTCAGAGTCGAGCCAGCGTCAAAGCAGCATAGCAAGACTGAATGCTTGACTCACTCGAGGCCAGCCTTAAGTAACAGATGTTGAGGCTGTCTGGCCTCGGGTGCTTTTCCCATAGTCGTCCAGATTGACTCACAGTTGAGGGCCCGGATTGTACAGTTGCAGACTTCTCCCTTGGACCTGATGTTGTCTGGGTACCTGCATACAAACAAGTGTGTGTGCTTGACCAGTGGCCTGAGCTAGGTACCTTTGGACTTTGACTGTTGGGGTCACGACAGTTGACCAAAGTCAACTGTCACATGTCCAGGCCCTGAGTCTTTGTTTGGGGTCCTTTTTGCCCCCGTTTCGGCCTGGGCTGAGGGCGGCCGAGTTGGCCCTCAGTCTTTCCACGAGACATATGGCACGGGTTATTGCACTATGGGCACAGCCTCCACTTATAAGAGGGAACAGCTGCTGCAGGTTCTGGTGGTGGTTAACAGCTGCAGGTACTGATGGTGGTTTAACTGAAATTTAACCCACAAGTACACCACCCAGGCAAACTTTGGAGGCCAAAATGAGTCATTCCTAAAAGTTAGGGCACTCGCCCCAGGGCGGGCAGGGGGCAGGCATTTTTTTTTTTTTGTCCTGCAAGGCGGCATTGCCAACCCTGACGTGTGGGACAAATATTTTTTGGGCCCAGCCCCAGGCCCAGAGCGAGTCCCCTAACTTTTAGGACTGACTCATTTTGGCCTCAAAAATTTGCCTGGGTGGTGTACTTAAGGACAGGGAGGGCAGAAAGGGGGGAAGAGGGGGGGAATAGACCTCAGGAAACAAACAGCATTTTTCAAGGGGCACTGTGTCATCCTCAGTCCTGGAGTCTCACTGCAGAACACACCCTACGGGACATTCAGGCAACCCGTCTGATGGTCCCTGAGGTGCCAATTTGCATTGTTATCCAGTTGGATCTGATGGTTGCTTTGGTGTCAATCTGCATTATCCAGTTGGATCTGCCGGTTGCTGCAGTTCCAATTTGCATTATTATCGGGGATCTGATGGTTGCTATGGTGCCAATTTGCATTATTACTGAGTTGGATCTGACAGTCGCTGTGGCGCCAATTTGCATTATTATCCAGTTGGATCTGACGGTCGTTGGGGTGCCAATTTGCATTATCATCCAGTTAGATCTGACGGTCACTACAGTGCCAATTTGCATTATTATCCAGTTGGATCTGACGGTTGCTGTGGTGCCAATCTGCATTATCCAGTTGGATCTGATGGTCACTGCGGTGCCAATTTGCGCTATATCCAGTTGGATCTGACAGTTGACAAATCATCTCTGCTGCAAGGAAGCAAAATCGGGTGAAAGTTAAAAGTTAAAATCAACAGCCACGATGTCGTTTCTTGCTGCAGGCTGAACTAAAGTGCAAATTAGTGCCTACCAGACCAGACATCAACGTTTCGTGACTGCATTGCGCATTCTGCAAGGAAAATGAGCGATAGTGAACTTCAGAAACCAGGCAGCATCATACACATGAGACCAGATAGTCGTGACCTCGAACCGAAAGCAGAACTGCAACACGAGTCCCACCAAATAAGAGCACAGCAAAAGCTCATAAGTGACAATGTTCGAATAGTCCCATCATCATCAACAAAGAACCAATGTCGACATCCTATCTGGCGTTCAGCGCCCAGACTACAAATGGCAGATCCTATCTAGCCTATCTACAATGCCGCTGATGACATCAACAGCTCCCCAAAGTACGAGCAGATCTCGGCCAATGCCGTTCGCTCAAGCACCAAGTATGTCTCTCGCATCACTCATAACCTCGATCCCCAACTCACAGATGCCACATGCACCCAAGGACCACCATGCGCCCCATCCAGCATTCAGCAGCGCAGCTCGGCTATGGCTGCCTGCTCCTTCCAGCTCGCCCGTGAGCGCTTGAGCGCTGGCCAGCGTATAGCACAGCATGCAGCCAGTGCCCGAATGTGCAATGCGTGGGCAGGCACTTTCCTAAATGGAAGTGGCCTGCCTGCTGCGTGAAGCCGGGCTGCGCTGGGACCCTGCCCAAAAGCTTCTGGTAGGCCCAGAGAGGCTGAGCCCCAGTCGAAACAAACCAGGCCCTGGGCCTGTGGCGGTTGCCCGTGTCCAACTGGCCGCGGCCTGTGTTCGGTCCATGTTGCGAATCTGGCTCAGGGCCTGCCTCAGTTACATTCGATAAATGCAGCCTGGGCCTGGGCGCTCTTAACCAACTGGCGCTGCGTAACTGCCTGAATTTCCCCAGTTGCATGTTGACCCCAAAATGGCCTGTAGGCCTCGGTCGAGCCTTCCTTCACTTGGGGCGGCCGAATGTGCTGAAAATAGGGCCCAGTATGGCGTATCGAGGCCTTGTGCTTCCCAGTTCCTTACATCCACCACTGACGGCAAACTTGAGGAAAATAACAGTTGTAATGAACCTAGAAATCGTGAGAAAGGGCCAATCAAAATCAGAAGCTTACAATGGCTAATCGCCTACGCGGCATTACCAGTGAACCAATGGCTACACACGAGGCGTAAAAGTTCAGATCCCAACAGCTCAGACTTGTGCATGGTTTGTAATGAAAGGACGGTAGAAGACGTCGTTCACTGCCTAATACATCGTAGAGAGGCGACAGACTACTGGGCAAGAGCCTCGACACTCTGGGACTCCCTACTCCCAACCCCCTTCCCCAAACATCCCATCCAACTTCTCCTCTTGACTAACATCCCGCAACAGCTCCAGAAGGCAGAAAAAATCTGGTTTGGACTCGTCAGAAAAGTTACATTATGGGTCATATGGAAAGAAAGATGCAGCAGAACGATTGAAGGACTGCCCAACCCACGCGAGAAAGTTTGGGTGGAGTCTCCGTGGAGACGAAAATGATGATACAAGCCGAAGTCCTCTGCAGATGGAGGAAGACCAAACAGTCATGGACGGAGGACGAGGAACAACGAAAGAAGGAGAGATGGACCTTCAGCAAGAACTGGTTGATAGACGACAAGATTGCGGAGTTACGAGAAGACCGCATTTACTGGAAAGAGTGGCACAACTCAACCCCAGGAAGGATTCACCAGCAACAGATAACTGCGGATGGACAAGACATTCCATGATCAGATATCCAAGAAGGGGAATAAGACGAAAGTAAGGGTGTCATAGAGCAGGATAGTAGTTGAGGGTTTAAGGGATTCTCAGAGAGGGTAGAGAAATTTCGGGCAGGAATCAGGGTGGCTCTCGGGTAAGGATGGATAAAAGAAGGTACAAGGGACAGACACGACAACCGGGCGAAATCTTTCTAGGATTTTAGAACTACCTGACAACCTTAGCCACTAGATCTGAGAGAAGACTTTCCCTACCAGACGAGGACGAGCAACAGCGCACAAGTACAGTTGAAGTTACCAAGACCTGGCTGATTTGAAATCAGACTCGCTTTCATTCACACTTTTCATGCATGTAAACAGTAGCGCAGCAAACTGGCGACATGCGCCCACTCAAAACTCAGAGATATGGCATCCAGATACGAGTTCACTTTCAATTACTATGGCGACTCAGCGCCCAAACAACTSACTGTTCACATACACCGGATCACCCTGGATATCCCACACGCGTCTCTCTGAACTACTCACACACACACACACACACACTGAACACTAAACTACAGCTATGGCAGCTATGGCTGCCTCTACCCTATCGCTATGCTACGCTCCTTCTCTCCCGCCCACTTCAGCTCCGGGCTCACTGCAGACCTCCTTGCACAAGTCGCTGTAGCAGCGCTTCCGCATGGCTCACGCAGRAATGAATGAATGGCTGGGCGCTGCCTCTTGATTTATACTTCTGAAACTCGTTGGTCTGCCCTCTTCCATCGGCCCATGGTGCTCACACTCCCTCGTGGTACTTGCTGGACCGGACTGGGACTGACTGGACCTTACAGCTGACTGAGTGGGGACTCACTGGTAACCTACCGGAGTCGTACTGCAATTGCACTGCAGTTTAGTCCACCACTTGACTCACCACTTGCCCACTTGCTGACCTTCTAGAAGGACTACAGCTAAGACTTCTGGAACTCGCTAAGACTTCTATTCTACAGATCTACAGATCGAATCCCTGCTACTTACGGACCTATGACAGCCTACCAACGGTTTACGAATACACAGGTCACATGTTCAACTCTCGGGGTCTACACAGGTACTGTACATGGGTAGGGTGAGGTCTAGGGATCGAGCCCGGGAATCTGCATCTGCTACTGCAAAAGGTGAAAACCGTTTCACTCCCGCCGTCCTTAATTCGAGGTCCTCCGAGAATATCTTAGTCCAAGGCAGGACCTTTACCCTTCTTATCACGCTCATAGGCTCTGACTATGTCGGGAGCTGTTTCTAGAAGTTCTGTCCTAGTGAACCAGTGGTCGTCTTCCGGTTCCTGATAAGCAAACCGGACCTTGTCCTGTTTCTGTGGATGACCTCTACCTCCTGTCCTAAACACATCTTCCTCTACGATGCCGTCAATGTCATACCTTCCGTCCATATCCGGAGGGATCATGGATCTTCTTGAAGGGAACTGTTGACTTGTGACACACGGCAACAACTTTGAAGCATGGAACACAGAGTATGTGTGTAGGTGTGCTGGAATCTCTATAGTGTAGGACGGTCCATCCTCTCCGCCCTTGACTTCTAGAACCGGCCACGGTCCTCTATATGCAGGCAGCAACTTCTGCGAGATGTGCTCCTCAGGTGCAAACTCTTTAGACTTGACCCAGACTAAGTCGCCTACTTGAAATTGAGACGGGCGACGATGGTTGTTTGCCTGTTCTATCATTCTGTGTTGGGCCTTCCTGAGGTTCTGAACAACTGTAGCTAGTTCTTTCTCGTGTTGTATTGCAAACTCCCCGGTACCGGGTGGTAGCCTGTGGATCTGATCCCGGTTCAGTCCTTCGAATCGTCTGCGCGGTCTAAAGGACTTGTGCAGATCATTGGGAGTGCGACAGGTGGACAGATGCACGCTGTTATTGTATGCGCTAGCTACTTTAGGTAACATCCCGTCCCAGTTGATCTGGTCGGGTCTAATGTACATGCGCAAAACTTGTTGTAGGATCTTGTTCATCTGTTATGTCTGACCGTTGGTCTCTGGGTGGCGGCCAAACGACATCAACAACTTCGACCCATAAACTCCCATGAGTTCTTGCCAGTTCTGGCTGGTGAAACGACTATCTCTATTGGTAACTATTGACAACGGGACTCCATTCTCACTAACCCAAAAATCAAAGAACTTTGGTATAACTAAATCGGTACGTGTCTCTGCCGGCAAAGGAACAAAAACAGCATACTTGCTAAATCGATCAACTATGACCATGACTTGGCTCTGGTCGTGTCTACTCTTGACACCAGCATCCATAAAATCAATGGAGACTGAGTCTCCCGATTGGTCTGGAATAGGCAAGGGTCTGAGAAGACCTGGAGGGGCGCGCGTAGTGGTCTTGTTTCTTTGGCAAACTTTGCAACTGCGGACGTACTCTATGCAGTCAGCTTTCATTCCTGGCCAAGTGTACGCGTGCATCAGATTGGCTAAAGTCTTCTGCCAACCGAAATGTCCCTCTGTGTCGTGGCATTCCCCTAGGATCAGACTACGGATCTCTTCGCTGTTGGGGACGCACAGGAGCTCTACTACATTAGTCTTCTCAAACAACAGTCCTTCTGTAGTGCGGTAGTCTGGTTCGGTCTCTGGGGCCTCCTTGACTCTCTTGAGGAGGTCGTTGTAGATAGGGTCATGCGCATACGCCTGCCTAACTTTCTCTTGCAGGTCTTTCCCTATATCTAGATAGTGAACTATGACTCCAAAGTAGTCTGATCTCCTACTCAGAGCATCCGCAACTACGTTGTACTTGCCTTTGACCGGTTTGAGCTCAAAGTCATACTGGTCTATTTCAGCGGCCCACCTAGTTAACTTAGGTGTCATTTTGGCCTCGGTCTTTAACCATCTAAGCGTTTCGTGGTCTGAGTACACTTTGAAGTGCCTCCCAAGCAGGTAATGCTTCCAGTGCTCTAGAGCCTGCATGAGAGCGTAGAGTTCTCTCTCGTACGTCGAGGTGGCTACTTTCTCTGAGGGCATCCTCGCTGGCATGAACTCTACAGGTCTATAGCCATTGCCGTTGTCTTGCTGCAACACGGCACCTATACCATACTGACTCGCGTCCGTGGTGACGACAAATGGCAAGGACGGATCAACTACTTTGAGGACAGGATACTCTATTAACGCGCGCTTTAATCTCTTTAGCACAGACGTACAGTCTTTATCCCATTGCCAGATTGTCTCTTTCTTTAGCAACCTGCGCATGGGAGCGGCGATGGTAGAGAAGTTTCTCACGAGCTTCCTAGAGTAGTTGGCTAGGCCTAAAAACGACCGCAAATCTGTCAACGTGCGGGGCGACGACCAGTCTCGAATTGTCGCTATCTTGCTGTCCTCTGGCTTAATGCCATCCCCGTCTAATACGTGGCCCAAGTACAAGACTTGTGTCTTGGCCCACTCGCACTTCTTCGGGTTGATCTTGAAGCTAGCCTCTCTTAGCTTCTCCAAGACCTGTCTTAAATGACCCTGATGCTCTTGGAGGGTCTTGCTGAACACTAATATGTCATCTAAATAGACTTCTACAAACTTGTCTAACCAAGGTCTAAACAGATCGTTCATACAACGCTGAAAAGTAGCTGGCGCGTTGGTCAGTCCAAAGCGCATCACTATAAACTCATAATGCCCATATCTAGTCCAGAACGCAGTCTTGTACTGGTCATCGGGATGTACCTCTATCTGATGGTATCCGGACTTCAGGTCTATCTTAGAGAAATACTTGCAACCCTGCACCCGATCTAAGAGATCATCTATCCTGGGCAGTGGTTCAGCATTCTTCACACTAATCGCATTCAAACCCCTGTAGTCTATACACATACGAAGCTCTCCTTCCTTCTTGGGGACAAACAGAACAAGTGCTCCAAAAGGAGACGAACTGGGCCTGATCCAACCCTTCTCAAGGAGCTCGTCTAACTGCTTGCGCAGCTCCTCTAACTCTCTGGGGGACATCCTGTAGACGGCTCCCTTAGGAGTTCTACTGCCAGGCTCTATCTCTATCCTGTGCTGGATGGGTCGCGACACTACTCCTGTCGGCGACTCAGTCAAGTCTTTAAACTCCTCCAGCAGCTTGGCAATGGTTGGATCTGTCGAACTTACCTCTTCCTTAGCCTCAGTGGCAGGTCTGACATAAACTACAAAAACCTGGTCCTCTAATTGCTCCTTTTTCACTAGTCGCGCGAACGCGGAAGCACTGAGACAGCAATGTGCCGAGGTGTTATCTACGCCTAACACATGAAAAAGGCGGGCAGTCTTAACCTCGCCTGACGGACTAGGGAGCCTACACTCATGCTCTCTCAAGTGAAGTGTGGCCCCTGCTGCCTCTCCCCAATCCATTCCTAACACTATGTCGAAAGGAAGGTCATCCTGAATGAGGAGAGTCAGGGAATGGAGAACTTTCTCCACTTTCCCATCTTTCTCTAGGCAAAAGTACGCCTGGACTCCCTCTACGTAGTCCTCAACTCGCATCATGCGGTTGTTTGCGAGGACACTGACTATGGGGTCTTCCAATTTTTTGACCTTCAATCCTAGCCCCAACTTCTTCAGCGCCCTACGACTAATATGGCTACGGGTAGCCCCTAAGTCTATAAGGGCCCCTACTCTACTTCTAAACACTTCTACATCTACCAAGATCAGTTGTCCCTTACTCTCCTTCTTCATTTTGGCCCAGGCTGGCATCCTCTCCTTCAACTCTTCTGCCACACCTGTGAGGGACGTGCCTAGAGAGATGCTAACACAAGCAGTCTCTGGATAGCTAGCTAGGCACGAGCCTGCAACCTCTGCCATAGGCTCATGTGGTTTGGGAGTTTCCTGTATGCGCGCGCTCGCTTCCCCACATGGCCTTGAAGTAGGGGCAGTAGCAACACCTACTGGCGGCTGCCTTTTGACTGCTGGGCAGCCCAACGGGCCTGCCTATACTTGGGACAAAATTTTATTACATGGGCCGGGTCACCACAGAATACGCACTGACCCAGGTCCACGCGTTCCTGCCATACTCGTTGGTCCAAGCCGAAATCCTCCCAGGGCCTGCCCTGTGGCAAGCCTGGGTGCCATCCTCCTTGAGGTGGCCTTCCACCTCGTCGCTGTGGGGACCGACAAGGCGGGGGACCTTGACCCCTACCTCCCACTTGGCGGTTCCCTTGTCCGCCTACCCCCTGTGCGCCCGGTCCTCGCCCTCCCATGGCCTGGCCCCTTTGGGCCTGGCCTGCTCCTCTACTTTGCGGCCTCCCTCCAGCCGCGACAGCAGCATAGGACCTCCCTTGTCCCACGCTATTGTCCTCTTCCTCAAGGCCCCACTCAATCTGACTATATGGGACCATATGATCCTTGGCCCTCACTTGGCCTGAGATGGTACGACCTTTCCACTTCTTCCCTTTGTCCAGGTCCTTATGCCTGAAAGTGGACACTGGCATGGACTTTGACTCAAACAGGACGACTTCCCTACTCAACACATCATACGTGATGCCGGCCTGTTGAGACTTGTCAAAGAAGTGCCCACGCAGGGGCTCTGGCATGGCACGATAAAACAACTGGACCAATTGATTCTCAGTGACCACATGGTCTAGGACGGCTACTAAGTCGTCCATGACGCCCTTGAGTGCTCTTGCACTCCTCCACTGTCGCGAGTGGATCGTCTGCAACTTGTCAGAGGCCCTGACGCCTCTCGTTGGATCGGCAAATCGCTCCCTCAGGAGCTTGAAGAATTGAGGAAGGGGGGTGATTTTAGAGTATGCAACCAGGTCGTTTTCACAACCGGCTGCACGCGCGAGGGACCTGGCAAAACTAGCCGCCTCATCCTTAAGGGCGTGGAAGGCCACGAGGACTTGCTCCTCAGTCAGAATGTGCTGTAGATACACGTAGCTATTCACACTAGCCTCCCAGTTATCAAAATTTTCTTCCTTCTTCCCTCCATACGCATCTGGGAACTTAAGCTTAACAGGCTCCTTACGAGGCCTGGCCTCACCCTCTACAGCGGCTATTGCTTTGGCACCTTCGATGGCCCCCTCGCAGTACTTCCCCACGTTGTCTCTCAACCGCTTGACTTCCCCTCCAACGTGGGTAACCATCTCGTGCGCAATATCCCGAAAACCGGACCGCATGGCCTTCAAGGCTACCTCCTGAGCTCTATTGGCTTGGCGTTCCTCCATCCAAGCTATGCTCAACACCTCCAAGTACCCCAACACCTTATCCATTTTGGCTGAGGCGTCTGCCTGAGCCTGCACCTCCTGCCTACAATCTTTCACCTTCGCCACCTCTACGGTCAACCTATTAACTTCATCCCTCCTTTTCTTTTCCCTCTTCATTCTCAATTTCCACTCCAACTTCTTCTCCTCCTCTCTTTCTTGTCTTTCCAGGGGGTCCTCCATTGTTGCTAGCTCCTGGGCTAACGCATCCCTCTCGTCCTGGGGCACATAGAACTCTGCCTCCTCATCTTCCCCCAACGATAAATTAGCAATCCCCTCGCTGATTTTCTTCTCCATCGCGGCGTCCTCATTCGCCGTGCCACTACTCTCCGCCTTTTCCTCTTTACGTGTCCTCTCCTCCTCTGCCTCTGCTGCCGCTTCTTCTTCAGCAGCCTTCTTCTTCTTCTCCATCTCCTCCTCCAATTCCTTCATCTTTGCCGCCTGCTCCTCTGCGATAGCTTTTAGCTTCGTCTGCTTCAGGAGCTCTTTTCTCTCCTTATTTTCTCTCACTAGGGCGGCCATCTTCTCTTGCTGCTCCTGGGTGTAGGGGCTAGTGCTCTTCCCACTCAGGGTGTCAACCATGGTGATAAGTGCACAACCGGATTAGCGGTTTCAAACCTCACCACGTAGACTCTAACCCCTGACTGACAAACCTACTGACTCAATCTAAGGACTCACAGAATCCGGACAAGGATCCTGCCAACTATGGTCTCTAGCCTAGACCTATACTATGGTTGTCACTACTAGACCTGTTGCTGATCAGGAGGCATTTAAGGAGATCCCCCGTAACTCCTCAGGAATTCTTTAACGTCGCAGACAGGACGACGCGATCAGCAGGTCTCTCAACACTTAGACGGTCTGTTGTGTAGCCCACAGCTCGGATTTTGGGCCTACCGTGCCACACCGAGCATCCCGCCGGTCAGTACCGGTCCTTGGGAGGGTTAGGCCTCCGGGACAGTCGAGTCGTCAGACACAGTCTTTAGCCCTACTCAGCCCGTGTGGGTTTGGTCAACAAGGCCCTATCCTTCATCCACAGAGTACTATCACCTGGACAGAAGAGACTCAATGCAGAAAGAAGAGACAGACAGACTGGACTCAGCAAGTACCACAAGGTGTGTGCACATCCCTAGGGCGAGGGATAGGCTGAAGGCTTGGCGAGATTTTACCGGCTCCAACTTGGTCAAAGTCTTGATCAACGCCTTGCTCAACGCCGGTCAACGCTGCGGTCAACTCCCGGTCAACCCTCGGTCAACTTCGGTCAACGCCGGTCAACACCTTTGGTCAACTCTCCCGGTCAATCCTTCGGTCAGCTATGGCTGTGGGCTTCTCTTTCCCTCACCAACCTTCTTCTTCCCTTCACCTTCCTCGCCTCCTTTCACCCCGGCTATCTTTTTTTTTTTTTTTTTTTTTTTTTTTTTTTTTTTTGTTCGTCTCTCCTTCCTCCTGCTCGGCTATGGCTTCCCTCTCTTTCCTCGGTCTCTCCCTCTGTTCGGTCTCTCTCCCTCCTTCGTTACTCTGTGGTCAAACTTCGCGGCTATGGCCGCTTCTTCTTCCTCCTCGTGGACTGCACGACTCACTTCACAGGTAAGTGACAACCAAACTTGTATCGCTCATCCCTCTCTCTCTCTCTCTCTCTCTCTCTCTCTCTCTCTCTCTCTCTCTCTCTCTCTCTCTCTCTCTCTCTCTCGGTCTTCTTCGTCGT